AAAATGATAATAACTGTTAGAGATACCAAATTGTTTTCTACAACCAAATTACACAGCTATTTTTCTTCTTCTTCTTCGCGTTCACCAGCTGTACACTCTGGTGGAAAGTTCTGGTTGTTCGTCCACTACTGAACTGCAGTCCTGCTCCAGAACCTGAATGTTGCATGTGCATCAGTTTTACAAACCTGATTCACTTGAATGCACACTGTTGGTTCCTTGCCTCTCAGGCAGATGCACTCCGACTTCAAAGGAAGCTCCCCAATTAGTCGACTCTTACTACATGCTTTTGGGTAGGCAGAGGGTCTATTCTTGTTTTCCCCACGATGGGGCCCCGGAACCCACACGGGGAACACAGCTATTAATTCTGCATGCCATTTTAAATTTAAAAATTATACGTTGCTGAAGCTTTTTTTCTTAACTAAATATACACATATTTTGGCTCCAAGAACAAGTTAAAAAAAATAGAAAAAAATAACATAATAAGGGGGTGAAGTGTGAGTGTCCCATGCAAACAAAATGCAATTCTTTGATACGAATTACAGGAAGGTATTATTCTTAATAAAACTTTGGTACTATTTTATAATTTGTATAGACTTAACACTAGTGTTGAGTTGAGTTGATTCAAGAAAATACATCACGTCACTCGGGGCATTCCCATAAGCACTCCGTCCCCATCTTAAGCAGCCAGTAAAGAGTTCCGATACTAATGGTACCAGTAGTATTCTGATTAAACATTCGCCTTTCCACTGAGCCTCGGACATCAGCCGGAACCCCTCGTCACTCACCGCTGCATCAATTTCCCCAGACTGTGGTGATCCATCTGCTCCTCCAAACTGCACACGCTCTCCCACAAGGCACTAACACTAATGTAAGCATAATACACCAGGGCCAGTCAAATAAGTTTGCCTAGGGGCCAAAATGTTGGAAAATGAAGATTATCATGGGCCAGAGGCTCAAGCCACCGTATTAAAAAATCATTAATACAATGCAGTTGGGGGGTGATCCACAGGCCACATCCTAGACCTCTGCAGGTTAGATTTGGACCCCAGCACGCCTGTTGAATAGCCCTGTAATACATCAGTTCTCTTTATGCCTCGTGGCACATGAGGCTTCAGAGAGGACTTTCCATGCTTTCCTGTCTTGTGCAATCTTCATTGCAGTTTTCCATGTCAGAGATGCTGCATACAGGTGACTTTCCATCGTTCGTTTCCATGTTGTTTTTGGGCGCCCCTTTTTTCTCTTTCCCTCTTGTATCCATGTGAGAGCTGTTTTGGCAGGTATATCAGGATTCATTCTCATAACATGGCCAAGCCATTTCCATCTTCTCTTGGTTATCATACTGTTTAAAGTTTCTTGGTTTGTGACTTAAGTAGTTTAGTGTTTGAGATCCTGTAATATATGATGGTGAAATATTTGTTTAGCACTTTAAACTGTATTATCAACATATACGTTAAATAAATATTTCAACAATTGCCTACACATCAGTAGCAGCTAGAATGAAATGCCAAGATTCTCCTGAACTTTTCACTTAACCATCATCTGAATGGGCACTGTTATTTACCAAGCAGTTTGCACTTTATATTAACAATGTTCATTAATCTCTCTCGACTTACATCAACTTTGATATTTGACATCATTCAGAACTATCTTCTTTGTAAGAGATCACATACTGTCTTGCTGAGATAAAATTAAAGGCAGATAAATTAATATTAACTGTATTTACAAAGCTGTTTACATTTTCAGTGAGAGAAAAACAATAGAGATGAGATGCCTTAGAAGAGCTGTTGGAGTAACAATGGGAAATAACATAAAAAATGAAGACTTTAGATGAGATATGAATCAATTCCTTAAAGAGCAACAAATTAAACTGCTAGGTCATCTGACAAGAATGCTCAACACTACAGAGAGTCATGCTGAATAAATTTGCTGAGTACAGAGGAATGTGATAACTATGCCCAAGATGGAACGACAGCATCAAAAAACAATCTGAGGAAATGAAGGCCAAATTACAGTGCTTATCCTCTAACACTTTACAAAGGTGACAAGATAAAAGAAGAGAAGTCTGATTTTACAAAGATGGGGGTGACAGAGCCATGGTATTTTCTAACTAAAAAACACATAAAAAAACAAACTGATTTTAAATAATTAAGGAGTGGTTTAGTGAATGGTTTAGAATGCTGGACTCTCATGCACGAGACCCAGGTCGAATCATTGGTAAGGTTATGAGTTTGTCTGTTGGGGGGGAGGGGGGGGGGGGGACACAAAACTGTAATATGAACAGTCCACAGTGACTATGTGGCCTTAACTTTCAGGTTCAAAGCTTCCCCATGCCTAATTTATAAAAGTGGTAAATATAGACAGTGACGACATAAAAAAAAAAAAATTTAAATACAAGCAGCTTTTACAGAGGTAAACTACTTTATCTAAAGATGTTTGAAATGCAGTGGATTCCAGTTAATTGAGCCACATTACATTATATATTTTGGTCCAAATAAATGGCTACCTCAGGTTAGACAATGAGTTGAAAAGCATGCAAAACAAAGTTATATACTATTTAAAAAAGGTATACAATTATTTAGCTTAAAGTTACAGTTGTGCATATTTATCTAAAAGACAAAAATATATGTATGAGCCTATAATATATATTATGCAAAATGATAATACGTTATAATGATGAAACAAAGAAGGTATACCTGAGTAGATGCTTTCTATTCACTACAACTAAAAAGCTTAGTGTAAAGCTTTCATTTGTCAGCAAAATCCATTCTAAAGCTAAGCATATTTAAAAGAAGAAGGAAAAAAAAAGGGGTGGCTCAAGAGAAAGACATTACACAATAATTTTCTGACAACGATTTAGAACTTGCTGACTCAAACATCACATACTAAAAAAAAATAATAATAATAACAAGCGGACATACAGGTCTGTTTCCAGGGGGAGAAAATTAAAAAAATTGAAGTGGCCTTCACATTTGTCAGCTGCTTAAAAGGTGCAGCCTTGGTCAAATACATTGTAGGGAAAAATTATGTGGTGAGAAAGACATAAGGCCAACTGGCAGCTTGAGATGTGATTATCCAAGAGCAAAAAAAAAAAAAGAAGAAATCGTCTATATTATGTTAAGTAAGATAAAACACTGCAGTTCTGAATAACTGGCAGATACACTGATTTAATTTATTTGGCTACGTATGTACCCACTGACAATTATTGAGATATCCAAAAAAAGTATGAGTGCCAAGAAACAGATTATAAAGAACATATTTATACCAACACCTTGCTAATAGTGCCAGACATGGACATAAAGGCTAACCTACGTACAATTTACACTTTTGAAATAAGATGCCAGAAAAAAATCAGCCAGCTTAACCATCCGAAACACAAGTTAGAAATTATATTATCAGACAAGTCTGTATGAACAACATCATGCAGCAAATTCACTAGGAAGCAGAAGATCAAATGGTCAGGTCATCTAGTTAGAATGCAGCCAGAACAAATACTAACATAGCACTAAAAGTAAAAAAAGAGCTTATGAGAAAACCAAGAGGTCACCTTCGGAGAAGATGGACTGATGACATTAAAAACCTTTTACACTGACATGGAATGATAATACTCAATGCTACCCCATCAAGCAATGGATCACAAACTTTTCCTTCCTGTGATGTTACCCGCATAAATTAAAATTGAGGATGATGATGACTAATTCAACAACAGTGATGGTTTACAAGGCCCAAACCCCAAATAAATAAATATAGTGATCATACTACAGCTCTTAACTTGGTGCTGCCACTGAAGGACCAACCAGAAAATTTACACATATTCTGTAGAAACAATAATAAAAATACTCTTGCAAATGAAGTGGCACCAATGATCAATGTACTAAATACCCTTGCAGCAGACATAGAAAACCTTTAGACCAGTCAAAACTAGGAAGTCAATAATATCTTAATGTATTTGGTGAATTGCTTCAATTCAGTTATTTTTTTTAAAAACTTTCTTATGTAATAAAACCTTTTGGAAATATTTTTGATTCAAAATAAGTGACAACATACAAACATGATTGTTATATATTTACAGCTACATAGTTACTGCACAAGTGAACATCATTTGCAGACCTCAACTATTGTTATAACTGATACACAGTAAAGACATTTCAGCAAAATGATTGAAATATGTACAATGAATATCATTTAAGCTGACTGAAACAACAGTAATAGTCAGTCATGGCCATCTTGTAGTAAGCAGGCTACTTGAAGAATTGTCATTCCAATTACAGCCTGCTGTTCCCTGTCGATTCCCCCATCGTATGTATTTTCATGCCCAGTAATTGTCAATGCCTTTTTTTTTTTTTTAAATGATGCAAACATATATACATGGATACTGAAGTTTGCTGATTTAGTCATTTTCAGCATATCGAAAATTGTGGGCTTGACAGCAAGTCTATGCCGAATATGTATGTCACATTTGATCTTCATGTACAAGGTTTCACCAGGTGACTGGTCAGCCACTACACCAAATCATAACAATGTGTAATTATTGCTATTTCTCAGATGCACACAGCAAAACTGAAGAATTTGTGTGGCAGCCATGTGTAAATGAGACAAAGCTAGTTTAAAAGTTGTATTGATTGCTTCCTGAGTGTAAGAGACAGCCCTGGCCTTTAAAAACTCAAGCTGCTTTCAGAGCCTGAGATGTCCAGTGTACAAAGACACCAGTTTGAGAGTTACTATGTAGGGAAGAACACATTTCTCCTTTTAGGTTAGACATTCCGGAGACTACCATATTCTGTAACAATTTGTACATCCTTGCACACATCAACACTGGAGAAGTTGTGTGGCTGCCATGTGTAAATGGAAGCTAGTTTAAATGGTTTGTTAATTGCTTCCTGAGTGTAAGAGACAGTTGTGGCAGTCAAAAACTCAAGCTGCTTTTAGAGCCAGAGATGCGCAGTCTATAAAGACGCCAGTTTGCATTACTCTGTAGGGAAGAAAACATTCCCACTTTTGGGTTAGACATTTCGCAGACTACCATATTCTGAAACAATCTGTACATCCTTGCTAGGAGTATTGATACTTGATCGAAGCAATGACCTCTTTTCTTGTTTTTGTAAAGCTTCGTCATCAGAACTGTCATTGGTGTCATAATGTCTGTGAACTTCTGCACTGTGAATCACTGATCCATTAGCGTGGTTGTAGTGGGGAGCACCACAAGTTGGACACTCATTAGAAGAGGTGTAGAATGTTCCACACGAACACCGAAGACTATTCGTTGAAGAATTTTGACTTGCACGAGCAGGATTTTCCAAAACTTTCAACACTGAGGGGAAGAAGCAAAACAGGAAACTGTTAAGCATAATGTCAGCTATAAAATTTAATGGATGTTTCTTTTTAAATACACACACATACCTCAGTTTTATGGAACCATATTTAATGTATATTAGAAAAGAAAAACCTGAAATAACAGACTGAGTATTTTTCAGCTTAAACGCTTAAAACATCACAGTATATGGAGTTGTAGTAACATTTTGTTAACAGCAGAAATTAAAAAAAAAAAGTTTAGATTATTCTACCTATTTTCATATTGTAAATGTTAATATTTTCTTCTTCTACATTCACTCTTAAAAAGACAGTTGTGACATTTTGCTGTGATATCTGCATCTCTCAGGCCCAATATCTGATTTCAGCAAATCTTTAGTTAATCACCTTAATGACATGCTTATTAAAGAGCAGTGGGTCTTTTTTTCTCTCTCCCAAAATGGGATCTCCTAAGCCTACATTTAGATAACTGTCGATATTAACCACTACAGACCCTATTCTTATAACTACAGACAACTGGTAATATGGGATAGATGTTCTTATCTTTTTGTCTGTTAAATTGAGATTTTCCCATGAGACAGAAGGTTGTGAAAAAATGATTACCAGTATCACAATATGCCATGGACTATAAAGAAGAAGTATTTGTTTTCTGTGTCATATTAAACTCTGATTTCTGAGGAATTGATTTCTATTAAAAATGAGTTTCTTCTCATCATCTTCTTAGCATTCACTGGCCGTAAAAACTAGCGGAAAGTTCTAGTTTTTCATCCACTTCTGAACTCTGGCATATTTTAATGGCAACAGTAAATCTGTACAAGAGTCACGCCTTTACATTGAGTGTTGAGAGCCGGCCAGATCCCCTGTTCCCCCCTTACTGCACATGGAGAGGGGAACCAGAGAATGAAGTTAAAGGGCGAGCTGCATGCAACAGTAATGAGCAAGATGAGTTTTTATGAGGGCCTATGCCCCTTTTGTTGGGGTCTGTGGCTAAGACATTGCGAATGAGCTTCGTAATGCCGGGGTGCCAAATTCGATCCCAGCTGCGTTGGTTTCGACAGAGGCATCGAGAAGTCGACCGCCCAGAAAGTATTGGCAAACAACGTGATTTAAATTTGCCTAGAAAAACCACAACAGCCAGAAAATGCTGGGTTGGTTCTGCAACGTCCTGTAAAGGATACGCAGCTAACTTTTTAAATGCCCCTTTCAGGTATAAAGACAGAAGAAAAAGAAGAAAGAATATCAAGCCTGGTTACTGAATCAGTTTAACTTATAAAGTGTTAACCTTGTTTATTCACATCCTTTACCCCCCATGTGGGTTCTGGGGCCCCTTTGTGAGGAAAACAAGAATAGACCCACTGCCTCCCCAAAAGCATGTCGTAAGAGTCGACTAATTGGGGAGCTTCCTTTGAAGTCGGAGTGCATCTGCCGGAGAGGCAAGGAACCAACAGTCTGTATTCAAATGAATGAGATCTGTAAAACTGATGCACACGCAACACTCAGGTTCTGGAGCAGGACTGCAGTTCAGTAGTGGACGAGCAATCAGAACCTTCCGCCAGAGTGTACAGCTGGTGAACGCGAAGAAGAAGAAGACATCCTTTATGACTATGGGTTGAAGCGATTTATGAGCGGGAAGACTTAAGCTGCCCAGCTTGTGTTCCCTTCAGCAGGATATTGCATCTTCTGCTTGACAAAGCAGTTTTCTTTGATCAAGTTCAAGATAATTACTGCCAGCTGGTGCTTTTTTCCTCAGACTGCAGTATTTAACAACATTCATGTCCATCCTCCATGTACCTTTTAAACATAGCTGTAGAAATCTAATTTTTCTGCCCCCCTCTCCCCCACCCCCCCCCCCACCAAAAAAAAAACACAGCCAAATGCTTAGTTGCATGTCCTTAACAAGATATTGCAGAGCAATCTATGACATCTGTGGCTGTGTGTTTTTCTATGCAATTTTATGTCCAGTAGTTTGCCACTCTTCTCTGAACATTAACATTCTATTACCATTGTCAATATCAACGCAAAGTATCTACTACCACAAAAGCACTTGCAGCTGATTTTTAGCTCTGATATGTCAGGATTGTGAAATAGTGTTCACAACAAATAAGCCACAGATGCCGACACTATAGACCAAGCAAAAAAAATTTCTTAAAAAAGTATATTTTATTTGGCTGATAAACCATTATTTTTTGTGTTGTATTCTTTCTATGGGCAATTGATTTATGTATTTTAGAAAATATTTATCTTATAATTTCTTCTATGCTCAGAGGTAAATATATCAGTAATGGAGCATCACGTTAACATTACATATTACAGAACTGTGTAAATAAGAACATAATAATACATACCATCAACTGCCCTACTCCTAGCCCCAATGTTCTGAGGGATCAGTGTGAGGAGTGCAAGAAAGCCAACAACTAGAGAGGCCCCAGGAATGAACACCTGCACATTCCGGTAGTAAGGTGTACAAGCAGGACAACAGCCACTGAAATCATACATTAAAAAATAATCATGATCTAAAACAAAACTTGTAAAAAACGAAACAAATGTTTAAAAGATGATGGATATGAAAGGTTTTAGAAGTCAATGCCCTTGTCACCTAATCTTTGTAATTTCCGTCTGTCGATTTATAAAATTTATTTTAATGTGCACAGCCTGCTCATGGGACCTCCTGGTTCTTTTGGCATGAAGTGAGAAGGCAAAGTATCATATATCACTCCGCAAGAGATCAGGTATCGCACATTAACATTAAAAACCAATGGTTCTTGTAAAAATGTCCAGACGTGTTAGGGTTTAAACCCCAGTAACTCCTGAGCCGAAGGTATTATCTGATAAAAATATGAGTTGTTTTTTTTTACACACCGGCTGAAATAGAGTTACAATTTTTCTATGCTATTTAAAAAAAACACAAAAAAAACCAGGTCTTTCTGCCTATTTCCAGTCAGTGAATGAGATAAAGATTTCTCTTACCAACAGATAATTTTGATCTAAGTAGTGAAATCTTTGCAGACATTCTTTGTCTATAACTTTTCTTGGCTGAACAAGACAAGGTTGTGATGGTCATCTTACAGACCAAAACACACATGGTACCCATTCATAGAGACAACGCCTAAGCTTCCTGAACATAAACAGCCATATTTTCTTTGCCAATGGAAGGAATAGATATTGCAGTCTCCATGGAAAATTGGTTAAGTTGTGCACTTATCCATATAAAGGTCATGGGTTTATTTTCAGACTGCTGAGTTCAGTATATAAGCGCAAAATTTTTATTTTTAAAGAGCCAAGGGGAGTGTCACAGGAGCAATGAAGTGTGTTTTATGACATGCTCGACAGGCGACCAACCGCTCTATGGTGAGAGACAGATTCATTTAGGATAAAATTCAGTGCAGTTACGTCAATTAGAATTAGTAGTACATTTTACCCCACTAGGACATCACACAAGCGATAAACACCCGATGACAAAAAATGCCACCTTGTGGATGAGAATTACCAGTGGAGAGGTCGCGAAAACCGCGTTCAACCATTAGACCATATTTATGGCTGGGCTATATTGCGGCCCCTGGCAAGAGCTAGGGTGGGGCTTCAAAAAAACAAAAAATTTCATACTTTGAGGGTATGTAACTGACTGACTGACTTTCCACCCCACCAGGACATCACACAAGCGATAAACACCCGATGACACAATGTGCCACCATGTGGATGAGGATCACCGTGGAGAGGTCCCAGAAACCGCGTTCAGACAATTGGCCATATTGATAGCCTGCCTATATTGCGGCCCCTGGCAAAAGCCAGAGTGGGGCTTCAAATAAAAAAAAATTACGTTCTAAAAAGGACGTAAGGGATTTGCTAGTAGAGGGTATGTGAAGACTGACTGACTGACTTTCTACCCCACCAGGACATCACACAAGCGATAAACACCCGATGACAAAAAGTGCTACCATGCAGATGAGGATCACCGTGGAGAGGTCCCAGAAACCACGTTCAGACAATTGGCCATATTATGGCCTGCCTATATTGCGGCCCCTGGCCAAAGCCAGAGTGGGGCTTCAAATAACAAAAAATTACGTCCTAAGAAGGACGTAAGAAATATACACAAAGAGGGTATGTGAACAATTACTTCGATCCTCTTCTAAACCTTTTACAAATGACCAGATGTCTATTATTTCTGTACTGCAGAGACTGAATAAACACCCATAAATGCTCTAATGACGACACTTGTCGTATTTTAAAATTGTATTATACACATTTGTTATCCTTATAAGTAAAATATCAAAATAATCAACTTTAAACATGCTAAAAATATGGAAAACAGTAAAAAAAAAAATCTAAACATAATAAATATTCGATTATTTCCCTTACTTGTTTTTTTTAAATTTTTTTATGTTTACTTCTTAACTTATTATTTATATTTGTGTGAAGAAGGAAGAGAATGCTGTAGACCAGTGGCTCTCAATCTTCCTAATGTGGCGACCCTTTAATTCAGTTCTTCATGTTTTGGCGACCCCCCCAGCCAAACAATTATTTTTTTGCTACTTCATAGCTTCAGTGAATATGTGTTTTCCGATGTTCTTTGTCGACCCATGTGAAAGGGTCGTTCAACCCACAGGTTGAGAGCCGGTACTATAGACAAGCAATAGTCAGTAAGTACTTACTTGCATGGATGAAATCTCTGAATTAATAAAACAGCAATTCCATTTGACAACTTGTCTGTAAAGCTCATGGCACCAAAAACAAAAGCACCGCTCTCCTAGAGAGTGAAACAACAATAATAGCTAATAAAATTACATAATTCATGTTAAGATTTAGCTGTATTAAACTTTGGATGTCAGCAACATGTCTATAATTTCTATTTTACTGCAGGAAGAAAATACAGTGGTACCTCGAATTTCAAAGATAATTTGTTCTGAGACAGTTTTCAAATTCCAAATTGTTTGAGTTCCAAGGCAAAGTTTGCCTCAGAAATAATGGAAACCTAACTAATATGGTCCAGAATCTAATAAACTCAAATTGTAAAATATATTTTCATGAATACAGTACACTGTAAATATAATAAGACATGATGATCGTATCTGAAGGCGGACATTAATAAACAAACCTTATATCTTCTTCTTCTTCGCGCTCACCAGCTGTACACTCTGGTGGAAAGTTCTGGTTCCTCGTCCACTATTGAACTGCAGTCCTGCTCCAGAACCTGAGTGTTGCGTGTGCATCAGTTTTACAGATCTCATTCTCTTGAATACAGATTGTTGGTTCCTTGCCTCTCCGGCAGATGCACTCCGACTTCAAAGGAAACTCCCCATTTAGTCGACATGCTTTTGGGGGAGGCAGTGGGTCTATTCTTATTTTCCCCACAATGGGGCACCGGAACTCACATGGGGGAAACCTTATATAAAAACATTGCATTTACTGCATCTTCATCAAAATGGTGACAGGGCATAAAGAAGTAGGAGGAGAACTGGGGATTCAGGAAGATTATTGTTTGGAAGGTGAGTCAGCAACCACGATTACATCTGGAATCATTTCTAGTATTTCATATTGTGGTCGTTCGCCATTTGTGGAGGGTCTGGGGTTACTTGTTTTGTTGACAGCCATCATTCCAAAGCACCCTGGTGTTGATGACCATTTTTAATTTTTCAAAAATGTTGATCATTTTATCAATGAATAAGTTAACACCCCTGTTAACTATGGCTTAACAGCTGCTTGCGCACACGACCACACGGCCAAAAAATCTTGGATTTCAGCAGTGCTAATCCTCTAGCTTCTGCCTCACCCTCCCCAGAAATGTCTTCTGCAATTTCTTCCTCCTTTTGCAGGGGAAGATTGGTCGCTTGACTGGCCGTGCCAGGCGTTTGGTTTCTAAGGCAACTTTTGAGCTCTGAGGTAAAATGCACTTAAAAATGCCTTCAGAATCCAATTTGTTCGAGTTCTGAGGCATTCGAATTCCGAGGTATATATGAACTTTCAAACATTAAAGAAAATCACTATCAGCATTCTTGTGAATGTTAATCTCTCACGCCTACATTTGTATTTTGTGTGTGTCAGCTTTTTTCTGTCACCGTCAGAAGTCTTTTTCCTCTTCTTTTCTCTACCCCTAGAATGCCTCGCAGCGTCAGGGCAGAAAGAGATCTCTGAAACGGGCCCTTCTGTTCGCTTTGTATAAAGTATTTTTTAATGTCTCAAATGTTTCTGTGTAGTCAACCTCTAGCTCTGTTACTGCTGTATCTGTATAACATTGCTCTCTGTGGTGCCCTGTCTGATGCCAATCCCGTTACATGACCAAACCATTTGATTTGTTATTCACCTTTTGGTGTTCATTTTCACATGCTTGCATTTCAAAATTGGTTACATTCGGCGTAAAACTTGATTGTTAGATTTTTAAAATTTATCCTCGTGTCTTCAAAAAAAATCTCCGCAGGTATGTAAATCCTTCACCTGCTTAAACTGGTGTTCATCAGTTTTGATATTGGTGGTTCTTCCTTTTCTGGAGAATGTCATCACTTCTGTTTTGTCTACGTTGATCTTTACATTATAGTTGTCACATTCTGAGTGAAGTCTATTAATATATTCTTGTAGTTGTACTGCTATTGGTGCTATGATTGCCTGGTCAGTGGCGCAAACAATTCATTTAATAATTCTCAATGTTGTCCCCTATGCTAGTGTTGGCTGATTTGCAAATTTGGTCGACGTGATGAGCAGTAGTGGTGATAGAACGTACCCCTGTCTCACTCCAGAGTTATCAATTGTAATTACTGTCCCAATATAGGATGCAATTTTTCGTTATTTTGAAGCCCCACCCTGGATCTTGTCGGGGGCCTTAATATAACCCAACCTATGGGTTGATGAATGGAGTTTCTGGGACCTCTCCATGGGTGATTCTCATCTGCATGGTGGCACTCTGTGTTACCAGATGTTTATCACTTGGTGTCATGTTCTAGTGGGGTGAAAAATCATTCAATTAATCAATCACTCCAGATCAGATGTAGAACTTTTCGGACATTCAGTCTTTTTCAAGTAGCTGTTTTATTCCCACTGGGTGTGCAATGAGCAGGCACTGATATCTTCTAGACAGTTTTTTACTTCTCCCTGTTGTTATTATTTTCTGAGTTTTTGTGATTGTAATAATTGGCAAGAGCTGCTAAACAAACTAACCCCGTCCCAATATTGGACACCTGAAAAAATTATTTTGAGGCTCAGCCCCGGCTGTGGTTTCAGTCCCTAATATAACCTAACAGTTGAATGGGGTTTCTGGGACATGCCCCCAGGTGATTCTCATCCACTTTGTGTCACCGGGTGATTTCCGTTCATTGTGGAGTCTTATGGCAGAAATCTTTTTCTGCAAAATCCAGCCTGTCACAACAAATTGTTGTCTACCAGTGGCCTAGCCTGAGGGCCTGTGGCTTATTGGGAGGGGAAATAAAACCAGCAAGAAATAAGAATAAGAGACAGCATAAGAAGAAGAAGAAGATGACAATTAAAGTAAATAAGAAATATATTATTTATAGATATTCTAGATTACCGTATTTGCAGAAATAAGGTCAGAGGTCATTGACAGCGATGTGATTAGAAGCAATGAACCTGATGCTCCCATCAAAAAAGCACAACCATAAATCGTGTCACTGTTTTTAGGAACAAAGTACATCCATACGCAGGAACCAACACCAATAGCTGCAGCCAAAACATAAGATAGCTGAAATTGCAAATAAAGTTAAATGATTGATGCATCTTTATATTTTTGTGAAGTTTATTCTTTTTTTTCCTTGTTCAGTTTTTGTTACTTTCAGAACAGGATTACTTAAGGTTTCAACATCACCACAGATGGGTTGCCCCACTTTCTGCTCGACTCATATGCCAGTGGAAATCACACAAAATGACCTTTACTGTCCCATTCAAAACTAGTGAAAAACCTGTCAGTCCTAGAAAAATCTTGAAGCTTGCACATCAAAGTAAAAATGCATAAAATAGCCAAAAGATGTTCCAACATTAAAGGTCTCATGCCAGAACTGCAGCTCACTTCACTATTAGCATAAACAGTCAATCACGAAAGCGATATTGCATCTGCAAAAGACTTCTTAGCGTAATCTGCCACCCGCAATTTTAGTCCAATCAACTACACATTGCAGGCGCAATAGAAAAAAAACATTCCATAAGAAATCCACAGCTCAGTGATACACCAGACACTCAATTCAGTAGATGGATAATGGAACCTGTTGATTAAGATGTAGTTAACCTGCTTCTCCAGGTCAGACATGAAGTATATTACACTTTTCTTATTTTGTAATGACACATTTAAAGCTGTAAAAACAAGCCAGTCCTACACGTGCCAGAGGAGAGCATCATGACTTCTAAACCATTGGTTTTTGTTTGTTTGTGGACGTATATGTGTTTAAAAAAAAATATTTATACACTTTCACCATTTCTTTCTATTTTGGTCTGATGAAAGTAATACCACTTAGAACCATTTACTACATAATACCAACCCTTTTTCTTTCTTTCTTGGACCCTTTCCCACACCATTTGGTGTTTAGGGCATATGGGGCTAGACCTATATTTTTAAAGACCAATCGGTACAAGATGGGTGATGTGGTCAGCATCACGCCGGCCACCTTTACTTCCTGGGAATGCACCTGGTACCCACTTAAGGCTGGGTCTACATGGAAGCCAAATTTTCCTTTAAGTAAATAAATTTTACCCCACCGGACATCACACAGAATGATAAACACCCGGTGACACAAAGTGCCACCATGAGGATCTGAATCACCTGTGGATAGGTCTTAGAAACCACGCTCAACCATCAGGCTATATTGCTGCCCCCGGCAAAAGCCAGGGCGGAGCTTCAAAATAACGAAAAATTGCTTCCCACATGGGGACAACTTTTAATTGTCCTTTAATGTATTCTTCAAATATTTAACTATCATTTTCTTACATGGAAAAACTATGTTTTAAAATTTCTATTGGTGCCTTCCAACTGTTTGTCATTTACTTCATAAACAAGTCTAAGAAGTTAAAATTGATGTTGATTACATACAAACAGGTACATTTCACCAGTATATTATTATCTGTGTTAAATAGAACACACATTTATTGAATCAGTATTTGAGAAACAAAAAAAAAATACCCATCCCATTTTTACCTTTCTTCCCATCAATCTGTTGATAAAAGAGGCTGCAAATGACATAACAAAACTGCTGCAGTATGTGACTAATGGTAGAATAGCAATGGATTCCTGAAATTAAAAAAAAACAAGAATTTGACTAAATAATGATTTGTGTAAAAAACAATCTCAAAAGCTACACATGTTAACTTCTTCTTCTTTGCGTTCCAGGGCTTCATTTTGGAGAATAAAGAACAGAGCCACTGCTCCTCCCAAACAAGCATGTCATAGAAGGTGACTAATTAGAGGCATTTCTTTCTAAGTCGAAGTGCGTCTGCCTGAGTGAGAGGTGAGGAACCACCAGATCGGTGGAATGGATGTGCACATAAAACTCGAGTTCTGGATGAAGACCAAAGTCCAGGAGTGGATGAAAAGTCCGAACTTTCCGCCAGAGTTTACAACTGGTGAACACTTAGAAGAAGAGGAAATTATGATGAATGGGTAGTGCGTAGGCCTGCTAAGATAAAGATGTGGGTTCAATCCATAGCAGACTCAGAACTATGTTTCCAACCAGGAATTTCTGAGGTTAACACCTTTTTTCTTCCTACAGTCTATGCCATGTGGTGTTGGTAGTCATGTTTATCCATATACTTCTGTCTCAGTCATTTCTGACACAAATGATCTTCTACGCAATTATGTCAAATCGTCCAGCATCTTCTTTCTCAGTCTCCTTCTGTTCCTTTCCCCCTCTCAACTTTCCTACGATCAAGATGCACTTCAGTGTTCTCCTTCTCATCATCTGATCAAAGACTACACTCTGTCTCCAGCTAACATGGGTAATCAGTTCTTTTTGTGAGGGTTAACATAATCTTATAAAATGAGTACCAAATAAATTTCAGAGAACTGTGAGTAGTTTTTTTTTTTCCACTGAGGGGCCAAAATACAATTGTAACCTGCATAGTTTGTGGCAACCACACTAGCCATAAAGCCCTAAATCAGGGCTATTCAACTAGCCCACAGAGGCCTAACAAGTGGCCAGCAGATCATTGCCAATTTTATTAATTATCTTTCTAGGACTCTGACCCATGACGATCCCCATTTCCAACATTTTGACCCCCTAGTAAACACAGCTGAACAGCCCTGCCCTTAATCCTCAGGCTGAGACACCCTGGTACCATATGAATTGTAACTCTTCGTTTCCTGCTGAAGATGGGGATGGCCCACTTTTTGGGGGTATTCTGAGTGCTGTGATGTTGATTCTTAATTTAACATTCAACATTTAGAAGTCAAAGTGCATCTGCATGAGAGGGAAAGTACCAACAGCCTGCATACAAATGAGCTAGATCTGACACACTGTTGGGCATAGAAAATTCATGTTCTGAAACAAGACAAATGGCCAAAAGTGGATGAACACCCAGAACTGTCTGTGAGAGTTTACAGCCGGTGAACAAAGAAGGAGCTGCTGTAAGACTCCCTTAACAGAATTATCAGCTGTTTTGAGAAATATCGCAAGTTTTGTAGTACTGTGGCCTCCTTATAGGTTTAAATGATGGAATAACATCATGGCACAAGGGGTAACCCATAAGTGCTCGGTTCTACTTCTGACTCAAGCCTGAGTCTGAAGAATCTCAGCACAGTGCACAAACTCTGTATCCTGAAATACTTTGGGTAGATTTGGCCTGGGCAGCACTGTTAGGCTACTCTTTTCAATTTCCAACTGTCAAGGGATTTTTTTATGTGCAAAGCAATACACATGGGTGTCTAATCTTATTATCCAGCGACCAGGGGAAATTACTAGAAGTCCACGTGAAAAAATTTCAGTCTTCACCAGGGCCTGAGCCCGGGACACCCAACACTCGAGGCGGACACCATGCCTCAAGACCACAGAGCCCTTTGGCCTTTTTATTTAATCCTTTCAATATCAACAGGCTCCGATGTTACTTTCTGACCTGCCAAAACAGATGCATGCACTTGATCCAACTAAGGCTTTTATATTAGACAATCGTGACCGATATACTATCTTATCAGCACATGCATAATCACTTTTTCAGATAAAGGTAGCAGAAAACATCACAAGGTGTGTGTAACAAGACTGCCATGTGCTTGAAAAAAAAAATCTCTTATAATTCTCTATAAATGTTTTAAACACTGATAATAGAACTTGAAACCCTGCTTACTAAATATAAACTGATATGCATCTACATTGAATTTTTGCATTGAGATGTGCAATTCCTAACGTTCTAAATAACTTCCTTATAAGAGCTTTAAATTATGTGCAGTCAGTTGCCTATTTGACATGCTAAAAGGAAATGGGCATACTCTACATCATTAAAATGTAACTTAACAATAAAAATACTATGACAAGAAAGCTAAGCGAAAAGGAAAAGAAAAGGTGTGAATAAATACAACTAAACATTTCAGTCAAAGTCTTTATCAATGAGAAAACAGCAGAATTATTAATAACCTGGGAGGTGACATAGAAATACTAAGTTTCATAGAATAATTTCCATATCTGACATAAATTTTATCAGTATACTAGATAAATGTAATCTCTCCACAAATACCAGTATCATAGGACTCTTCCCCTAGAACCAATTCTTCTTCTTCTTCTGTGTTCATCCAAAGATGTTTAACTGCGTTGTGCCTGTTTACAGCATGGCTGCGATATCTGCGCCTTTCAGCTAGCCGACACATCTGACTTCTGCAGGCATTGGCTGACCGGGTTAGCCTTCCTGGTTTTAACCAATTACAAATATATCCAGCTAAAATATTAGTTCTGCTTGTTGTCTTGTTTAAAGATGCTGCCCAGAATTTCACATCTGCACTTTTCAGTCAGCAGAAAATGTTTTTTGTCTGTTTTGTTTTTAATGATAACAGTTCTTGTTGATATTAAAAGTGCAACATATGCTATTTACGACTGTTAAAACAAAACACTGATCTGAGTAACTGTATGTAGTCCGCTTCTACACAACAGGCTAAACCTTCGGAGGTCACAGCTGAGGAGTACTGTGTGGATCTTTTCACAGGGAATGCCGGTGTGTTGGGAAATGAACAGGCGGACAGACAGGCTGACCATGCACAACTTGGTGGAATACTGATGCACGATAAGGCAGACATGGTCAAAGCTTATAGAAGCATGTGTGCAATTCAGAGAAGCCAATGGATCATCAGTCTGGTGAAAGTGGTGAGGGGTTCTATTCGATACTTGATGAGCAGCGGAAAGGCAAGACAAACGTATAATCAGACTGCTACTGGTGCTCTGCAATGACTGCTGAGGATAGGCATGGAGCACTTATGGGAATGCCCCGAATGCTGTGATTTTAGTTCCTGAAACAACTCAAGGTGTACACATTTTTGTATAGAGCTTTAGTTTTTTTTTCTTCTGTTTTTAGTCTAACCACTGATTCTTCAAAAACTTACTCATCACCATGTGAAACGGTGGTGCAGAGACCTTTGTCTTATGATCTCCCATACTTGTCAATAGCTGATTTTCTCTCACTAGACTTGTGGGTGGGAACCAGGACTTTTTGTCTACAAAAACAGGTGCTGGTATCTAATAGACATTGTACTCATTACAGAGTGTCTTTTACAGTAGCGCCGAAAGAATGATGCCTAAAAAAAGTGCATGTACTTTGCACTGCCAGAAAAAAGACCTAGTGTTCTGGGTGACGGCACAAGGAGACATAGGATCACCATGGAAATAGAACAGTAGGGATGCTGACGAGAGCTGTGTGCTAGAGGGGACTTGTGTTAGAAGTCCTGTCGGTCATCAGAGTCCTTCGACAGGCTGATGTGCCGTGGGCAAATGCTGGAGAACGAGCAAGTGAAGTCTATTTCCAGTCAGCTGTTTTTGTCTGAGCTGAAATAATATCAAGGTCCGGTGGATAGGAGAGTTCGTCCTGTTCGGCTGTACGACAAACCCAGAGTTGTGGGACGCTGCAGACCTTCAGAGCTGTAGTGGTAAAGGAGAGGACGCTACAAGTTGAGAGAGAGAGAGAGTGAGGACAATATAGACTAGGTGCGAATGCTAATTAGGATCAATGTCTATATCTCTGCAGTTTTGTTGATGTGAGGGCTTGTGTATACCCTATTGTGTCCTGTCGAATAAATATGCTATATGACGGAACTACTGTCACAGAGTCCTGTTTCGAGAGTGTGGGAGCGAAAGTTATATCTATAGACACTTAGAAGTATGCTGAATAGTGTGTAGCTCAGATAGTACACAACACCTTGTGGGAACCATTGCAGCTTGGTGAGGCTAGATCACTTGTCTGCTAGTCTTGTGGTAATGTGTTGAATCCCCAGTTAGACAGGAGTTTAAAAAAACATATTTTACAGAGCCTATCAGTCATTAGCAACAAGTAAAACATAGACATATAATAATCTAAAAATAAAAATGATTAGAAAAACCCACCCACCTCTCTTTATATGCCCATTTATCAACGCACCCAATCTTTCTCACAATTATATTCGGTATGATGTTTAAAGAGAGAGAGCTTTTGTAACTAAACAGATATATATAAAACTGCATAATGAAACAAACAAAATTAAAACTGATTGAGAGAGAGAGAGAGAGAGAGAGAGAGGGGGGGGGGGGGGGGTAAATGCTGAACTTCAACATACAAGATACAGAGACAAAAAAATTGACTGCACCAGTAACGCAGAGGTTACTGACACACACACACACACACATACATGCAGCCAATAACATCACTTCACTCATGACTGTAGCAACTATCAGATAACAAACATGTGCTAGCTATCATTTAAACCACTGATTCCCAACTAGGGGTTGGTCAGTGGAACAATTTAAGGGGGTTCATGAAATCATGTAGAGAAAAGACCTCAACCCTTTTTAAATCTTTTTTTTTAATTTGGCAATTTTAATACAGATCTTCTCTTTTTATTTTTAATATGGCTATTAAAAAGTATGGGATCTGTGGTGGATCTCTGAAAACGAGAGGGGGTCGCAGGTCTTATCCAACTGGGAAATGCTGAGTAAAACCATTTAGGTCAAACATGAACATCCATTATAATCGGTTTCATGCTGAACCTAACAGAACTGCTAACCGTTATAACCTAAAGTCCCGAAATATAAATTGTAGCACAGCCTGTCAACTGTATTGTCTGATCAATTTAATAATACAAAGTCCTGTGAACTGATGGTGCTTTCTTACTATCCTGATTTATGTTTAAAGCCGATAATGCCAGTTTTCCAGTAGTGCCGGCCATTTCAGCCAGGCCGTGCCGACCGGCCTATAAAAATATGATTCTAGCATCATATACCTAATGTGCCGAGTAAAAAAAGATCCGCTATTTTACCTTTTAGAGTAGTATTCAGGGCCACTACATGCAAGTCTTCTCGATATTTCAACTGCATCTGCCTGAGAGGCAAGAAACCAGCAGTCTGCATACAAATGAGTCAGATCTGTAAAACGGATGCACACACAACACTCAGGTTCTGGAACATGACTGCAGTCCAGAAGTGAATGAACAACAAGAACTTTCCACCAGAGTTTACAGCTGATGAATGTAAAGAAGAAGAAGAAGAAAATATTTCAATTTTAATGGTTAATAACTTTTACTATAGTTTTATTCTTGTTGTTTCCGTTTCATTTGTTCCATATGAACAGTTTTTATAACAAATCTAAATAAATTATAAAAATATGAGCCTAGGAAATAATTTTAACTAAAAACCCAACTTCAATGAGGGTGAATAATCCTGAACACAACACGACATCGCTCAAAGAGAAAGACATCTATTACTCACCTTAGACAGATTAATGGTTTCTGTGAGGTACATTGGGAAATAAACCTGGCTCACGTTAATGTACAATCGAGTTGCCATGTACAAAACTGCAATCTGAAAAAGGAGATACTTCAGGTCACTTTTACAAATCAATATCAAAAAAATACTTCCTGTTTCATCTTCTTCTTTTGTCTTGAAACACATAGTGGAGCAAAGAACCTTAACCAACTCAGACCAAGACCTTTACAGATCTGTTCATAACTAGAGCTGGATTTTGCAGCTAAGTGTTACATGGGATCAGGAAGACAGAAAGCGTTTAGGGATACAATCACTAATAGGTGCAAAGAACTTTTTTCCTGGACGATCAAGTCCAATGGTAACTACAGAGGCAAAGCTCTTTTGTTATAACACATATATATCCTACTAGTTACTACATATAATTACCAGAAAAATCTCCAGTAACCATTTTAGGCTGGGTCAACCTGGGAATCTAAGATAATTAAAAAAAAAGAAATAACTGTTAAAAAAAAAAAACAAAAAACTATCTGCCTCAAAAGGGTTTCAGATACATGAAAATCAGGTCAGTTTGCAGCATGTTAGTCCATGCACCACTCAGTTGCTTGTATCAGTACATGCAAATGGTTGCCAACATTTTCATCAGTAAGACAAAGTGGGAATTTTGGTCAAGTCTAAGGGTCAACGCCAAAATCCAATGAGACAAATTTTATGAAAATTATATTTGCTGTAAGAAAACTTAGATAACAATGTTCACTATTAAGAAACAAGTTTATGTCATTAAAAAAGATGTCCTATTAGTGCAGTGGCCACACACATGTGCCCGATGGCCCAAAAGATCTTGGGTTCAAATCCGCAAGCAAATTTCGTTATAACTGACCTTTGTTTCAAGGCTGACCCAGCCTAAAATGGACATAAGGAAATATCCTGGGAAGTATAGGAGGTTGGCATGATGTTGACCACACTCACTGAACACTGTTTAGTCTAATAAAAGTATGGGTATTGCATCATGTAGCCATGGTGTAGCGGCTATAGGCTCGCCTGCAGATAGGAAGGTCATGGGTTCAGGTCCGGAAGGAGCTGGAATTTTTGTGTGGAAATGACCTTGGCTCCCAGGCTGAGTAAAAACTAGAAGTCCCTTTTCCACGCCTTTAGGCGTATAGGGCATATAGGGCTAGACCTATAAGGCTCCCAGGCTGACCCAGGCGTAAATGGGCATCAGGTATAAAGTCTTAGGAAGTACAGGCGACCGGCACGATGCTGACCACACCACATGCCAATTGGTCTATAAAATATAAGCCTAGCCCTATTACCTCAAGGCGTGGGAAAGGATTTTGTACTTTACTATAGCAACAAATGCCTGATGTGCCATTGGCATGGAAAGGGTTCTTTACTTCACTTCTATTTAGTAAAGGGCCCTTTTCCATACATTCAAGCTTATTAGGGATAAAATGCCAGAATTATATTTTAATTAGACCACTCAGAATTTTCCCCTGAACATAAAATAATTTGTAAGATCCTTACCTGATAAAACTGAGGCTCCTTTAGCCAATCTTTCCAGGTCATTCTAGAATGAAGTAATGTAGAGCGTTCTATAGAATTCTCTCCAACCTGGTTTCTGTTTTGTGTCTCAGTCTCGCTACTGTGAGGTTTCTCCTTTGTGCCCAGGTGAAAGATGAAGTTGAACACAGTACCCAATCCAATGCATATAAAAGCTAGCATCTGGATTTTGGAAAAAATGTATCTGTGAATGTATTGTGCAATACTGTATTTCTTCGGCATGTGAGAAAAATAGTTAATAATTATAAAATTAAGGATTCAGCAGTTCTTGTGAGAGAACTACGAATGTGAAGCTTGTAAAAGACAAATGGCAATGAACCATGAGATCAAGAAAACACAATACAGTTGAACAAAGAACACATGAAAAAAAAAATACCAGGCAGTCCTTAAGAAACACAAGAGTGTGAAAAATATTTTAAAAAGACAACATCATGGAAGACCCAAAACTGTACATTTACTAGTTATAATTTTATTTAAGATCTCCCCCCTGCTGCATGCGCCATCTCCAGTACAAAGTTTACATAACTGGGCTGATTGCAGAATCATATTGCTTACAAGGAAAGTGCTGCTGATTGTAGGGGAATTGAACTCAAGATCAGTCTGTTGAAAAGCCAGTGCATTAATCACTACACTATTAAGTCTCAAGAGAATTTCAGTAATTACCTCAAAATAAAACACAAAGAAACTGAAGACATGTATTTTTGATCATTATTTTACAATTTGTACTAAAGTTTGAAATCAAACAATGTTAACATAAAATTGTTATGGGGAGCCACTGTGGTGTAGTGGCTAGATGCTTGCCTGCTGATTGGAAGGTCGTGGGTTCGGGTCCTGAAGAAGCTGGATTAAAAAAAAAATGGTATTACCTTGCCTCCCAGGTTGACCCCGCCTTAAATGGGTACTGTCCTGGGATGTCGACCGCATCCCCCAACAAGTGCAGATTTGTCTATAAAATACAGATCTAGCCCTATATGCCTGAAGGCATAGAAAAAGGTCCTTGATTTTACTTAAAAGTGTTATACACAAAAACCACTTACACATATGTAAATCAGTCAATATGACTTTAACTAAATAATTATGATGACATTTTTTTTTTTATGTTTTCAACTTCCAAAACACTGTTTTTCTCTTGTGAATTTAAATCATGAGAAACAAATAATAATATTCAACAATTTATTGCTTGGCATATTTCATCAGGTACATACTAAACAATTTGCATCAACATACAAAGAAGAACAAAAACCTTGCAAATGACATAACTAGCATAAACAGACTTGTTGACTTGGGTATTTCATTAGAAAGGATTCCTTTTTGTGCTTCACTGACACATTCATCAAGTAGCAGGTCTTTTGCAGAATGTCACTCTCATGACGGTCTGCCTAAAAGAAACTTGGTCTCTCGCCAGCTCTCCCGCCTCATGTACTTTCACACTCAAGGAGTCCCTTATATCCTGTGCCCATCTTCGTGTTGGTCGGCCCCTGCCCCTCCTTCCTGGTACCATGCCTTCTGCTATAATTTTTTCCACTGACATATAGGTTGACATAAATTCTGCAATGAGCACCTGACACGATACAGCAATACACATCATGTTTATGCCTCCATTTTGTTACCTGCAATTGTTATATCAACAGAAGCCAACTGATTTGGCCCGATACCTACCTGAAACTTTGGAGCATCATGTATACCAAGATCACCATCTGTGGCATCATCCCTTCCGGCTAAGTAAAACAGTGCAGCAAATATCCCATAGACTGACAGGTTGGCGACAACAGTGAACATATTTCTGAGGAAGTGTGGGGATACATTCAGACTGAAGCCAAAAAATGTGCGATACTGATTAAACATAAAATACATAAGTTTTAAACATGTGCTGCTGCCATGGTGGTGGTTGGCAGCAGTGGATGTATGCATCCACTTCTTGTTCAGCCTTTCTAACCTCCAATAGAGCATAGGCCTTCAACCAGCTCATGCCAGGTAATTTTATCCTTCACTATTACATGCAGCTCTCCCCATGTCCTCCCCATCATTTTAACTTCACTCTCTTCTCCATGCGCTTTTTGGGTCTTCCTTTATTTCTTTGCCCCTGTGGTTTCCAGTGCTAAGACATTCTAGTTATTTTGTTCTCAGGCTTTCTTAGTGTGTGTCCTATCCAACAACTGTATCTTTTCTTCACCTATTGCTAAACTGGAACTTGTTTAGTTCTCTCCACTGCTGTAAAGTAAATGTAAAGGACCCTATTCCACACCTTCAAGCCTAACAGGTATAAAGTGCTGGTCCTATATTTTATAGAGAAGCCATAGGATGAAGTGGTCTACATCAGGTCGACCACCTATACTTCCCATGACTTTAACTGATGCCTATATAAGGCGGGGATGACCTGGTAGCTGAGGTAATTATTCTTTTAAAAGTCTGGCTCCGTTCAGATTTGAATCCATGACCTTATGATCAAGAAATCAGCATCTAGTCACTACATCATAGCAACTCCCATTAACTGCTGTCCTTAGAAAAATATTATGTAGTGAGGTCCCAATCTCTTCCATGGCATGACTACTGTGCCACTGCTTGAAAGCTATGTCTTTTTATAAACTGTAGAAAGCTACCAGCGATGAAGATCTATCATTGACGAAGAATGTGAAACATGTTATCAACCCCTAAGCCACAGAGCTGACGAGTACAAGACCATGTCTACATGAACTGTAAGCTCACACAGATGTCAGGAGCTTCCAGACTTTATCTTGCTATTCTCACCTCTGGTCGCTCCTCAAGGTTTCTCCCAATTCGCTGATCTTTCATTTACCTTATCAAATAAAACATACTCGCTTTAGGCACACACTCTAGGCCAGTGGTTCTCAACCTGTAGATCGCAACCCTTTCACCGAGGTCAGCTAAGACCACTGGAAAACACATATTCATAGAAGTTATGAAGTAGTAACAAAAGAAATTGTATGAGGAACTGTATTAAAGTTCTACTAAACATGGCTTTAGGAAGGTTGACAGCCACTGCTCTAGGCCATGCTACTGTACACCTCCTTGTGACCTGTCAGACTATTCTGATCACTTGATGTCTAGGAAACCAGACTAGCTCATGACAACTAAAAGGAACCTTTTCCGTGAGTTCACCACGCATAATGGAAATACAGTGCTAAACCTCATTTTTAAATTTTTTTTATTATTTGGTGTTGTCTTTTAAGAGACCTATTTTTTTGCACACTCTGTGACTGATGTGGTCAATAAAACGCTGGCCATCTTTACTTTCCAGAACTTTACCTGTTTTCCATTTGATGCTGAGTCATCCATAGAGCCACGGTCATTTTTTTAAAAGAAAAAATCCTGATCTGTGTGGATTAAAACCCATGGCCTTTTGATTTGCCGGCAAGCATTTAGATGCTACACCATGGTGGCTTCATGACATGTATGAGTTGAAAGAATAACAAACGATGGCATAGTTTTAAACAATTATCTTAATCTTCTCTGAATAAACATGGTCTATCTGAGTATACAAATGAAACCATTATTAGCAGGACAACTATCACTACTACTACTCTACCCTATTACCTCATGTGCCACTAGGACACTTGACTGATAACTCAGGTCTGATGTAGTCATGGACTGAACAAACTATGAGTCTGTCACTAATCTGACTGAGTGATCCTAAAATAAAACCTGGTCAATATCTATGTTGTTTTCAAAATTAAGACAGAAAACAATTTTCTATGGGAACAGTCATTAGAGGTCTCTTAGGACACCCTATTCACTAGTGGACTGAGCATGTATAGGAATGCCCAATGTGCAATGACACCCATTTTGATAGCATAAGAAGAAATGAACAGAAGTAGTTAGGTAATATAAACCTTGTATTAAGGACACAATAAACAGCGAGTTGTCAGATACTGAAGACGGGCCAAGAAATAAGAAAAAGTTATTATACAAATAAGACTTCGCTATTCTGGGCACACCCATAAAACCTTAGACACTGAAATATGAAAATAAAGGGTTTGACAAAATGAGAACTCCCGATAGAAGTCCTAAAATTAACGCTGATGACAAAAGCCAAACGTGATGGACTGGATTCAGTCAAAGGAAGTGCACTGGACAAAATGAAATGGAGGAATAGACTGTGAGCCCTATCTGAAATATAATGGCCCAACAGAACTACTATTTCTTTGTGTTCACCAGCTGTAAGTCCTGGTTGCTTGTCTATTTCTGGACTTCTAGTCATGTTCCAAAACTAGAGTGTTGCGTGCACATCCATCTGGCAGATCTGGCTTATCTGTGTGCAGACAGATGCACTCCAACTTCGAAGGATGCCCTAAATTATTCGACTCCTACAACATGCTTGTTGGGGAGGTAGTGGGTCTGTTCTTGTTTTCCCCACAACGGGGTCCTGGAACCCCCACAGGGAGCACAACAGAACAATGAAGATGATGTACGATACTGAAATAGTTTAGGACTCTCTTACAATGAAACAAACAAAATGCTTACCTAATGGATTGCAGAGTAACACGTTCGTGTCTGTGCGGTGTGAAATCTGATGAAAATGACAGATGACTAATCTGTGTGGCTGCCCACCCAAACTGGAAGATGACGACAAATGGTGCATAGTATATAAACTGAGCAATATTTGGAGCATGTGAACATGTGATGCACTTGGTGAAGAGGAATGGAAAACTGGCCATGACACATAATGTTCCTGTAAATAAAAAAGAACAAGTACACAGACATGCAAGTGCCATAACACAGTTTTTATAAGACAAAAGTATGTGAGCAAAAAGTAAAAGGCAGGCCCATAGTAGATACTATCACTAACAGTGTGAAGTATTAAATCTTCATGTTGTGAAATGTTATGACATTCAATGTCACTGTACACTGGGCATCCCCATGCATTCTGCCTACAGTTTCATCTTATCCTCGAGTGACGGCCTTTGGCATATCCCCGGATATCTATTTTCAAGGCTACACGTGCCTCGCCAGACTATTGTCTTGAAGAGATACAAAGATAAGTGATATTGTGTAGTAGTGTCTATTCTATGTGTGTGCTGAAGAAGGCTCCATAGCCACAACGTTTACGTTTTGTTTGTGTTGTTATATGGTGAAGCTCGCTGACATACTTCTCGTTTGGTTTTATATCTTCCCACGCATTCTCAGTCCTGAAAGTTAGCAGCTACTCCAAGGTACTTCTACTGATTGTCCCCATACAATTTTATTTATAAAGTCTCCTATTTTGACCTCGAAGACGGTGTGGGGGTGCCTAACTAAGCTTGACTCCCAGACCATGCAGTTTATGTATTCTTGGTTACCAAATAATGAAGCAGAGCAATCAGATTTCTTTCTTGCCACATTTTCTCCCCCGGCAATTACCCAACCATTTTTTGACTTATCTGGTACCAATGATAAGAGGCTGTTTGACTCAATAGTCATAAAAGTCAGATGAAAGAAACGTGCCAACTGTTTGTGATCAAAACTGAACTACCTTCTTAGCAAGCAAAGTGAGCTACCCCCCTCCCCCCACCTATACTACTTGGCTCCTGTATTATATTATTATTATTATATTACTATTAATCTCTATTACAACAAGCTGCCTTATTACCGTTACAAGATTTGTTTAAAAATCCAAATACATGCATGATACAAAATGGTGATATTGTAGAACATTCTGTGTAACAGATACCTGCCCCTAGAAATGTTACATATATCCATACTAAACTAAAAGAATGGGCCATAACTAGTATAATTCACAAGAAACTGAATGCCCTTCACAGAATCTAAAGAGTCTCATCACTCGTGAATATTTAACTAGCTCAGCATAAAAGCGCCAGGTAAGGTTTACAATTTTTTTCTTTCAAAAATACATATTATATTTATATATATAAAGGACCCTTTTAACCCAGGGGAGCTTAAGGCATATGATGCTGCAAGACTCATATTTTTTAATTAACCAATCAGCACACATTGGGCGATGTGGTCAGCAGCATGCTGGCCACCTTTACTTCACCTGACATTTCCTGGCACTCGTTTTAGGCTGGGTCGACATGGGAGCCAAGGATATAAATACCACAAGAATAAATTCACTAAAGATAAATATTCATTCACCCACATCTGGGAATAACATGCACCAAAGATGGCATGTTGGATAAAGAAACAACATTTAGTGCATTAAAGCAAACCAAGTACTACACAGCTAGCCTCCCTTTTAGTACACAAGACAATCCCTTTCAGCACAAAGAGACATCTCCTTCAAAGCATATTCATCACTACCTTATGCTTCCAGTGCCAGACAAGGTTACTCACAATCAACAAGAAATGAACAGTAGTAGCCATGGAAACTGATGTCCATGAAGATATCAGAAACTAGGTCATAAGAGGAAAAAGTTAGCACATGATCATTTCTAAATTACATATAAAGATGACAAATAAAATATCTCGCTGACTTAGAGAAAAGGCCTTGCAAGACCATATCATACACCACAAGAGGAGAGGGTGTAGAGCAAGGGATATACGTAGAACAAGATGGAAAGATAACATCAGAAAAACTCTACAACATCATGATGTGTCTATAGTTGAGACAGCCAGAACAGAAGGACTAGAACCTTATTTCATTCTCATCACCCAAAGTAGTACAAGAGGAAGGTAAAAAGAAGAAGAACAATATCTTGACATTACAATCACCTTTTGTTGATAAAATTTTGACCAGATGGGGCTTGCAGAATACTTTAACAATGAAGAACATTAAACAATGCTCACCAGAGTGTCAACACAGATGATTTAAGAAATAAATTACAAATATTATTAAGAGTGTGCTACTTATTAAAAAAAATTAATATTATTTATAATAACAGTTTTGTACAGTTAAACAAAACAAATACAAAGAACATAAATAACTATATAAGAGCAAATGAATATAATGGAAAGGGGTGGAGAAAGCTGATTAAAAATAATTAAAAAGACGGACATAAAATATTATGTCCACATTAAAAGACATGGCACTAGAGGTAGGCAATGATACAAGTGGAAAGGTGATTCCAAAGAAGGTAGCTGGAGCCTTATTTTTAATAGGGGAAAAATAGACCTACTGCCCCTTCCCCACAAGCATGTCGTAAAGGTGGCTAATTAGGAGTGTTTCCTTCTAAGTTGGAGTGCATCTGCCTGAGGTGAAGAACAAACAGTCTGCATACAGATAAGCCAGATTTGTAAAACGGATGTGCACACAAAACTCAAGTTCTGGAATAAGAGCAGTGTCCAGAAGTGGAGGAACAACCAAAACTTTTGCCAGTAAACGCTAAGATGAAGAAGAAGTGCTTTGTGTGGTACTCCAGGGAGGCAGCTAGCCATTCTATGAAGAGTAACCTTGCCTAATATAATAAAACCCAGTGTGATGAAGTTGATCCACTCACATTTTAACAAGTGAGGGAAAGCAAACAAGAGACAAACAAACAGTAGTAAGATAATGTGAAAAATCTGTGAAAGAGACTCAAACCATTATATTAGAGATCCATTGAAGCCAACCTTTACTGTGCAGATTTCACCTAATTTTGTTTTTATTTGTATATCAGAATATTAATGCTAAAGTTATGGTTCTAATGAATGAAAAGGGAAAAACCCAACTAATTGTTGCAACATACCCACTAAATGCCATGTTTTCCGCTTCCCAATTTTCTCAATCCCTCTTGAGCGATCAGATTCATAACCAATAAATGGTGTGAAAATAGCATCACTGACTTGACCAATCAAAATGAGGTTCCCAGCTAATACATTTTCAAAGTTGTTAACCTAGAGGATAGTAAAACAGAAAATGCGCATATTTAATACATAGTTAAACTATATTACAAAGCACAGTTTAGGCTTTTCTAAATGAATAATTCATACAGGAAAATAATTTACTGTGCCTATTATTATTATACTTTCTGCAGAACAGTTGTATGTTTCTCTCTACTTACAAAATATACATTTACAAAGATATGCTTATGCAAGACAAATAAATATGTTAATTTTTTTAATTTTGAGTGATGGTGGCGTGTGATAACCTTGCAGAATTATTAGATGAAAGTTCTTCAAGAAATATTTCAGAAATTAATTTACATATGCAAGTTTCAGGGCTCCATTATGTGGGATTGATTGTGGGATGAAATACATAGAACCCACTGCCCATTAACAGGCATGTCAACGTCGACCAATTAAAGGTATGGCGAAATCAGATGTGTTTGGTTGAACGGCAAAGATATCATAACCTAGCTGTAAATCTAAACATAACATTTAAGGGTGCAAGCAGAAGAAGAAGCAACACACTAAAAAACTGTGGAAATATGACATCCACTTAAAATTTGAGAAGTTTGGATACAAAATAATATATAAAAAAATAAGGTAAAAAGTAAAGGACCCTTTTCCACGCCTTTAGGCTTATAGGGCCTATAGAGCTAGACCTATATTTTATAGACCAATGGCACAAGATGGGTGATGTGGTCAGCATCATGACGGCCACCTTGTACCTCCCGGGAAAATAATAGGACTGAATAAATAAGCTTCTTCATTACCTACTCTTTTACCACTTTAGGTGTTGAGGGGGACATAGGGTGCTGTTTCTTGCTCTTCTGGCTGCCTCGACCACAGACACATTGTGCTGCTGTTGTGTTAATTGTCTACCTTGTGTTCTACGTCATTCTCTTCTTTTGGTGTCCCTCTTGTACCAGTGAATGATATGTTGTCCCAAGGCTTTCTTTCTAAGTGGGCAATGCACTGCTGTCTTTTTATGTAATTTAAAATTGGTTTAGTGCTGACTTTTTCTCTTATACCTCATTCATGGTTTAATCTCTTCTGTTCACTTCTGCAGCCTTTCTCAGACATCACAAATCCATGACTACTAATTTTCTTTCCTGGGTTGAAAATTAACAATAACTTCTTCAAATTATTTACAAGTACATACACTGATTAACTAAAGTAATGTGAGGCAAAGAAACCTGACTAAAGAAGTGTATCAATAATTCCTGCCTGAAGAATGACAGTTTTAGATTCCACATAATATAGCAGGATTTTACTAGTAAACCCTATTGGAAAAATAGACTGTAAAATATTCAAGAAAATACTACATTCTATCATCGAACCACAGATCAGAGCATCTTCTTCTTTGTCCACCAGCTGTAAGCTCTGACGGAATGTCCGAATTGTCTGTCCATTTAAGACAAGGCCTCAGTTTTGCGTGTACATCTGCTTTACTGGCTTTTTTTCCCCCGCAGTAGGTTGTGCTTTGCCATTCAGGCAGATGCATTGTGACTTTAAAGAAAGCTCCCAATTAGTCAACTCCTATGACTTACTTGTTGGGGAAGTAGTGGGTCTTTTCTTATTTTCCCCACAAGAGATCAGAGATAAACATTTGAGGTTCAGAAGACCCTCTGAAGGTTCTGTAGCCACATTTTGGGGAAGAAAAACAAACAGATCCACTGCCACTGCTAACAAGCAGGTCAAAAAAGGCAACTGATGTTACTAAAACTGGATGTAGTCCACAGAAAGGCGCAGATAATGCAGCCTGGTTATAAACCCCAATTAAACATGTCAAGTGTACTGACAAGATGAAGAAAGGATTCAGAAGAAACAAGGGCTGGATCAAAGTTATCTTTAAACACCACAACAACAACTAGAGAAGACAATCAGACAAGTAATATCTTTGGCTTGAATAAATGAAGTCTAAAAAGCTTTAGATTAAAAAATGTGCACCAGTTGTGGACAAAATTGAAGATTACAGAGTTGGTGAGCATGCAATAATTTTTTTTCAATAATTTACCAACCGCTCATGATTGACTTCCATATATCAAGATAGGATTTAAATAGCTTTTAATAATTCTATTTGTCGTCTCAATTGACAAAAAAAAAAAAAAAAATCACATTAAAAACTCTTCAGACTGTAAAATGCTGCCCTTGCTTGAGTTATTCTACATTTAACGTCTTTAATACATTTTCCACTTGATGTTATCAGGGTACCCAAGTACTTTAAACATATCAACTTGCTTGAGGTTCGTCCTATTTACTTTGATATTGTAGTTTAGAAGTTCAGTTTTTTTTGGTTGTAATTACCACATTTCACTGTTTTTCTACTAAGATGATTGTGATGAGACAGAAAGCTGGAGTACATTGTGGCAGTAGGGAAGCTGGAGGGAAGGACAGGCAGACCACACAGTACAGACTTTAAGAAGAAGAAGAATATGCAATGAGCTTTGGCTAAAGCTTCATATTAACCCTCTCTCACAAAACCAGGCACTTCAAGTTTGTGCGATGGCCCCATAAATTTCCTTTTCCTAGTTTGCTAAAGAGGCTTGTTTGCAAGGAGCCCAGCTATGGCATTGCTTCTGATTTTCCTAAGAAACTTTTTAGAATGACCGGGAATAAGCACAGTTGCTAAAAATAAAATTTAGGTGGAGGTACCCTATTGGAAAATGCCTAATGTATAGAAATTCCATATGTGTGTTCCAGGGCCCTATTGTGGAGGAAACAGGAATAGACTGACTGCCTACCCAAAAGCATGTCATCAGAGTTCACTAACTAAGAGCTTCCTTCAAAGTCAAAGTGCATTTGTCTGAGAGACAAAGAACCAGCAGCCTGTATTCTTTCCTACCCAAGGTGGCACTTATAACCTGTACTCGGTTGGTTGGTAGTTGTACCCCACCAGAACATCACACAAGTGATAAACACCCGGTGATCCAAAGTTCCACCATGCAGATGAGGATCACCCATAGAGAGGTCCTGGAAACCCCGTTCATCCGTATTTCAAGCCCGATATATTTAGGGCCCCTGGCAAAAGCCAGGGTGGGGCTTCAAAATAACTAAAAATTGCATCCCGCTTTATAACCTTTACTCATCTTTGTGCTGGTCAGGCCTTCTTTCTGGTATCATGCCTTCTACTACTATATTTTCCAATCTGCAGTGAAGCTGGATATGGCCAAAACATTTCAGTTTCTGAGAAATGATAGTGTTTACTAGATCTTCTGTGTTGTTCAGATCTTTTAGAATGTCAGGATCTTTTTTTTTTCTTTGTCCATGGTATTCTGTAAATCCTTCCATAGCATTTCAGCTCAAATTCCACAGATTTCTCCTTTAACCCTTTAGGTCCCAAATAATGCATTATGTGTTACTGACTGTTCCCCACATGTTTCAAACATCATATCTAGTGTCTTCTTATATTTAAGTTTTGGTCACTGTATACTAAATAAATCTGGCAAACACAGGGATATCTTTCAAACAATTTTAATTCCTACAACACTGCAAGTGTTTATAGAGTTTTGTTTTTGCAATATGTAATTTAAAAAAAATAATTTTGTACAAAACTTTGTGAAACTGAAGGAGTTAAGAACTGCGAGACAATCCACAACTCACATCCATATGTTACTATAGAGAAGATGCAAAAGTTCAGAATCTGAGTTTTAATATGTCTGGTGATAAACTATGTAATGTACTTTTTGTGTCTGCATTATTTAAATATCTAAAAAATATTACTCTGAATTTTTTTTTTTTTCTAAACAAATTCTGAACTGCATGAAAAATACCACAATCTTTAATCAATCCGGTTTTTTAAAGCACTGTGTTGGAGTCTGCTGACAATGAGATTCCTAGAACTTGTAGAGAGAACATGACTAACTTCAGCCTTTTTCTAGCCAATCCATTGCCGATGTGCTGCAATATGACCTGGTTAGATTCTAAAATTCATCTCTGCATATATGTACAGGTCCAGTACCAGCCTCACAAACCTCTCTGGCTTCTGAGTTTGGAGAAGGAAAAGAGATCTCAGCAACATGTGGTGAGTATCTGAAGATTCATATCTGGTTTATTTGGGTTTCACATCCCTAAGCTGACCATCTTTTATAAATTTCTTTTTTTAAAAAAAATGGTGGATAACAAAGACCCAAAAAAAAAATGTTTCACTTTTAAGGAGGTAGTTAGAATTTTGTAATTTATACAGCTAGAGTCAACCTGCCTGCTCAGTTAAACTGAATAACGTTAAACAGCCATTATATGAAATTTATGCGATGAACCATAACCTAAATTTTGTAGAAGGTCCTTGCTGAATGCCATTCATCTCACAGCCTGCCAAAATGATTCTCAATCCAATGTTCTTTTGCTTCATGCATTTCCACGCTAGGATGCCTGTAATGAATGTCCCATGCCACCCATAATGTTAGTGAGACTCCTACCTAATTCTTCCTAAAACCATGCCTTTCACTTTTGTTCTAATTCAGTGGGAAGTTTAAAACAGTGACTAGGATGAAATATTCCATATATGTATGGGGAAAACCTGGCCCTATTGAGTTGTGAGTGAATACAATACATGAGGCTAATAGACTCTAAATAGACCCTCCATAGACCCTAAATCAGTGGATCTCAACCTTCCTGATGTGACGACCCTTTAATACAGTTCTTCATTCATGTTGTGGCGACCCCCAACCTTTTTACAATTATTTTCGTTGCTACTTCATAGTTTTGCTAGCTGAAAACGCAACTGATTTACAACTGCTGGATAATTTGGGGTCGGAGAGTGCTAAAAAAGGGCTTTTCTTAAACTTTATAATCAGGTGTCTTTGAAACACGTATAGTGTTCATTCAGGTTCTCCATACAGTTTTGAGATATCTTCCATCTATGCAGCAGCTTGCTTATTGCTATGTCCTCAATTGATTTTGTTTGTTTAAACTGTTTATTGTGATACTGTCTCAATATGTGCGACTTTTTTTTTCAAGTGTAGCATTTAGTTTGATTTAGCATAGCACAAAAATAAGTGTTGAAATTTAAGTTTAATTACACAGTTGAATTAATGAAAAAATAAAACTTCACAACCACTTTATGATCATCGTGATACTTACTCATCTGTAGACCTGTATAGCTAGTGACTAGTGAACAGTGTGATCCTGAGGGTGTCGTAAGTAACAACAAGCTGTTCAAACACTAATATAACAGACTTCGCTTATTAATATTATCCAGTCTTCCTCGTTTCTATACCTCCCGTTAACGAAACATATCCCTTAATGATAAAATAGAACTTAAAACTCTTTAACATAGCGGCTGAGAACTGCAGATGTAAAATATAGTCGTGTATTGTGTCTGTAGTTAAATGGAAAGCAGTGACAATAAAGCCCAGAACACACTGTGCTATATTCGTTGTACTAGATCATGTGACACAAGTCACATGGTTCGCCACCCACCTGCATCACGTACGGTGCTTAATCACATTTGTGACCACTCCAGTCATGCTTCCTTTTATCTGTGAACCATGTCACATCACAAAGTGTTTTTCTCTTTCCCGACGTGTTGCTTTCGGAAATCGTGCAGGGAAACCTGCAACCTTGATACATTTGGAGAACTTCAGAAATTGTATTAAATTCATTTATACCTGTTGTAACCGGTTGGCTTGAGCCTTGTGTAGTGTCACATTAATAAGCCATTTGAGGCCCCAGCCTAGACAACATGTAAAGTACATGGAGTGAGGGCCTCGGCGTGCCCCCAGCACCCTCCTTCCCCGCCGATAATGTCTGGACATCTAAAGAGATCAGAACCGTCGAAACAGAATTGTTGGCGCCTGGGCAAACCAGTGTGCTGCGGCCCCAACGACAGTCAATCAGAGTAATTAATTTGGTATTTATAGGAAGTCACTTGACAAACACAGATTAGCATTGGACCCTCTATTCTATGATATGGAGCCCTGACCAAGCGCTCAGCCGGCCCATGCGTTTTGACGACTCAGGAAGTTTTGTGATTCTGTTATAGTCATGACATGGTGTGCAATTCTTTCTCAAGGCTGAAGTGAATGCTTCCACGTCTCTCTCTCTCTCTCTCTCTCTCTCTCTCTCTCTCTCTCTCTCTCTCTCTCTCCCTCCCTCTCTCTCTTGCTCTCTTCTCTCTATCTCACTCTCTCATTCTCATACTCGCTCGCTCTCTGTTCACAAGTTGGATTAGCAAGAAAGAAACAAAAAACGTAATTCGACTTTATATGAATTTAACTCTTTCAGTCCCAGACCACTTACCATGCGTTTCTGGATCAGTAAAAAGATAATATAACTGACCAACTGTCTTCTGTCACAGAAGAACGTTATAGCATTCCTTATTGTCTAGATTACTAGTTCCACTTCGTTTGTTTCACAGTGTCTATGCTTTACTCCTTAGGGTCAAACTTTTTAAGCTAAACACTTTGGGGTAGAAGGAGTTGAAGTAACAACTGCTTGGGACTGAAAGAGTTATTTTGAAATACGCACGAGCAAATCTATATGCAGCATAGCGACACATCTGCAGCGTATACTTGTGGTTTCTCTCAATGACTCACGCTTTCCACTAAGTATAATTTTTTTTTAAATATGTGGATAATTAATTAATGTAAAGGCAATAGTGTCGTTGTATTGCTTACTACCGTAAAGCTTTCTGCCTAAGACATCAATTCTGTGATTTGTAATTGTTTTCATGTAAATCAGCTCCTTTCCACTTTAAATAGTTATCACTGTCTTCGACTTTTTGTAAGAAGAAGAAGAAGAAGAAGAAGAAGAAGAAGAAGAAGAAGAAGAAGAAGAAGAAGAAGAAGAAGAAGAAGAAGAAGAAGAAGAAGAAGAAAAAAAATAAGAAGAAAAAGAAGAAGAAAAATAATAATGAGAAGAAGAAGCAGAAGGAGAAGGAGGAGGAGGGGAAAGAAAGAACAAGTAAAATGTGAATCATGTTCAAACCTGCCGAAAGTAGCTGCGGTTATAGTTGTGGTCTGGTTTTAATTTGCGCCAAGTTCAATAGCTCAAAAGTTTGTGGTGTCAGTAAGTTGCAGCTTATTATTATCCCTAACTGTGTGGTGTAGTCATTTCTGAACATGTCTGGGTACTATCTGTTAACCCGGTGGTACTAAGGGAAGGTAAGGTATAACTTTTACTTTACTTAGTCGTCCCTTTTCTACCTTGGGGTGTAGTGGTTTGCCAGAGAGATCGCCAGAAGTCTCTATCAGCAGTTTTCTTTCTGGCTTTGTTCCATTCCAGTCATCTGGCAGTTAAGGACTGTCGGATGTTGTCTTCCCAACAGACCATGGGTCGCCCTGGAGAGGTCAAGTTAGAAGTGTTCATAATCCTGGTTATGCTTCCTGTATTTCGATTTGATTCGATTTCTTGAGAAAAAAAAATGCAAGACTTGCTCGTTTTAACTGGCTAGACGCAATGTCTTATTTGTATTTCAATTCTTTGCGGTGTGCAGTTACACTTGAGTATCCTTTACCTTAGTCTTCCATATCTGGTGTGGTCTTGTAGATCCTGTGGTTTCCTGGTTTTCTCCTAGTGGGCTTTTTGTTTGATTGCTGGGACTTGCTGCTTTCCATGTGTCTGTTGCTGTGGTAGGGTTATTAACGCCAGATAATGGGTTTCCTGTGTTTTGATTATTAACTGGTGTGTATGATTGGGTTGCCCTCCTTGTATCCTAGATTGTGGTATTCTTCCTGAGATGTTGTTTCCTCCTTTTGTCCCTGTGATCTCATCACCATTTATGTCATTGTTCAGTTCACGTATCCTCGCTCGTGTTGTGTTAGTACAGCTAATTTACCTTGCAGCATTCATTTTCACAATCCGGCGTGCGTACATAAGCACAATTACTTTCTGGTGTCAAAAACCGTTCTTGTGGCTTTCCGACAGTGGTCTGTCCAAGTTAATCAGTGGTACCTCGGGTCATGAACTTTAACCCAAATGTTCGCGACCCAGCAATAGTTTTGTTCTCCATTGTCAGTAACGTAGATCCAATTAATCCGTTCGCCGGCCGCAGAGACATACTTTTTTTTTGACATTATATATAAGAAAGCGATATAACGATCTGGCCCACACCAGACTGAGAAAGAGTGTAAATGGACCGGTAAACGTGAACAGGTCAGATATAACATTTGCAGTATAATTTTATTTTTGTAGTTGATAGTTGCTTACCGAGAGAGGTGGATGAGGAGGAAGACTACTCCTTTGAAGGAGAATTCCATTCCATAATAACATTGGGCAACTGTGTAGGTTTTTCTGGTGTTTTGTCTGTTGTGTGTATCATAGAAAGTGTTTCCATTGCTGGCTCGTTTTGTTATTTTCTTCTCCGTTTCTACTATAATACGTTTAGGCTTCCTTACCCCACTGTCATTACCAATTTTAATTTTTTTTAGTGGAGATTAATGGTTGGGGGGGGGGGGGGGGGGCGCAGACCTGCTGTTCATGAGCCGAAAACATGAGGCCCACACCATATTTGTGTGTTTGTGAGCCGACGCATTGGTCGGTTCAAAGGTGCAGTCAAAATTTGAGAGACGGTCACACACACAACTACATTTCCGCATTGGAAAATGAACGCTTAGTTGGGGATTGTGAAACACGTTCAGTAACTTGCAAGCCCTAAGGACTGTACTGACCCACTTATCAATAAGCTGCCCACACCGAGGAACTGACCCGAACATCAGCGCTACACGTGATCAGTAATCCGTACTGAACCCACCAGTGATAAAACATCACGAGCTATACAGTTGTTATGTAGCAACACACTTTGGCCAGTCTCAACGGGCGTGGCCAGTCAACCCAAACCACCAGCCGTTAAACTATACAACTACAACTGATGTCATTTGTGTCACCCCCGATGCGTGCGGCGAAATCTGGATACAGCTACTTGTCGCTGACCTTGACTTGCGGGCTGTTTACTCTGATGTCGGATGGTTCGCACGTGGATTTAAATACCCTTAATTGCTAGGTTGTATCAAACAATTGAAACACACCGTCACCGTGTGGGCCCCGGTGCCCCTTTAAGAAGAAGAAGTGGAGGAAAAGGAGGAGTCAGAGGAAAAGGAAAAAGAAGAAGAATAAGAAAAAGAAGAAGTTGAGGAAGAGGAGAACTCAGAGGAAAAGGAAGAAGAATAAGAAAAAAAAAAGAAGTGGAGGAAGAGGAGGAGTCAGAGAAAAAAGAAGAAGAAGAAGAAGAAAAAGAAGAAGTGGAGGAGGAGTCAGAGGAAATGGAAGAAGAAGAAGAATAAGAAAAAGACGAAGTGGAGGAAGAGGAGGAGTCAGAGGAAAAGAAAGAAAGAAAGAAGAAGAAGAAGAAAAAGAAGCAGAAGAAGAAGAAAAAGAAACAGAAGAAGAAGAAAAAGAAGAAGAAGCAGCGAAGGAAGAGGACGAGGCAGAAAAAAGGGAAGAAGAGGAAGAAGAAACAACGCTTTTAAAGCAGCCATCCTACTCTCACCAAGACAAACAAACACACAAATGCACCATTTAAAAGTTATTACAAACTAATTAATGTTGTAATATATTATTTAATAATGTACACAATTATTATAATTCTCAAGCTAAAACTAATAACACCACAAACAATCACGCAGGCAGTAGTAATATGTAAATAAATTGCTGTAAAAATGCTGCAGATGATCAACAAAGCAGATTACAAACAAAGCAGTAATGCAGTTTAAAATCCCCTTATAACTTCATGCAATGACTGAGATACAAATAGCAAAACACATTATACGCCCATATCCTGACCTGTACTGAAATGCAGGGTTTATAGTTTTAGTAAGCAAAGGAACCTTTTCCACGCCCTTGGGCGTATAGGGCATATAGGGCGAAACCTATATTTTATAGACCAAATGGCACAAGATAAGAGATGTGGTCAGCATAATATCGGCCGCCTTTTCTTTGCGGGACTACACCCGGTACCCACTCAAGGCTGGGTCGACCTGGGAGCCAAAGCCATTTTTTTTTAAAGTCCGGCTCCGCCAGGGAGCGAACCCACGACCTTCCGATCCGCGGCGAGCGTCTAGTTGTGGTACTTGTTGTATTTGTTACAGGCTCCCTAATATAACTTGTTTATAGAGGTTGAACCTGCTCTAGTGAAGTTGGTTAAACCTGACTTTCGCGGCGGCCGGGTGACGAACTCCTTGTGGTCCGGGTTCACTCCCGGGGGTAGGCAGAAAAGCCACATTTCTCCCAGATTAACGGTACCTATAATGGAATCAATGCCGAAGGGTTGCGATATCCATAGTACCGAGCCAAAGGGTTTACAACTCATGGTTTCTGGATACGTTAAAAAAAATAGAGGTTGAACCTAATATCCGGACTTAGCTAGTTGGGTTGCTTATATAGAATGCGACCCTTCGTGTCGCGTAGGTGTTCAAATGCAAATCTAGCGATCGGTAACAAATATAAATAAATATCTAGGGACCTATTGAGGCGTTAGAGACAGTATGTTATCCAACTAACATGAAGTGATTGGCACTCTTAGAAAGACATAGAGATAGAAGGACACACTATACTTGATTCTTCTTCTTCGCGTTCACTGGCTGCACACTCCAGTAGAAAGTTATAGTTTTTTTTAATCTCTTGACTTTAGACTTGTTCCAGAACCTGATTGTCGCATGCACATCCGTTTTACAGGTCTGGCTTATCTATATGCATACTGTTGGTTCCTTGCATCTCAGGCAGATGTACTCCGACTTCAAAGAAAATACCCAATTAGTCGAATCTTACGAATTGGGGTTGGTAAGGCAGCGGTCTATTCTTGTTGCAGCAACTATTAGAACAACACCGCTGAAACCTACCCTATACCCTGTACCTAGTGAGCAAGTCAGTGATACAATACAGATAATGACTTCAGCTGCTCTTAGCAGGATTCAGGAAAACTATACCGAACAGGCGTGGATACATGTTTACACGGATGGATCAGCAACCAGTGCGGTTAAAAATGGGGGTGCTGGCGTCTTTATTACATACCCAGGCAACCACTGCCACACAAAGTGTATACCCACTGGTAAATTCTGTTCCAACTACACAGCAGAGATCATATCACTAGAACAGGCTGCCAAAATGTTACACAACACCAGTTCTGACTGCCACCAAGTGGTCATATTCACAGATGCGCTATCGGCGCTCCAAGCCCTCAAAAGTGGCAAACGCCCTCACCTGAGATCTGAACCTGGCAAGGTGGCTGCCCAAAAGCGTACTGTACTCCAGTGGGTGCCATCCCACTGTGGTATACGAGGACACGAAACCGCAGATAAACTTGCTAAGACGTGCGTTTGGACTTTAAGTTCTAGAATAAGACTCAAGTCCAGAAGTGAACGAACAACCAGAACTTTCTGCCACAATCTACAGCTGGTGAACCCTCAGAAGAAGAAGAAGAAGAAGAAGAAGAAGAAGAAGAAGAAGAAGAAGAAGAAGAAGAAGAAGAAGAAGAAGAAGACAGACGGTGAAGACAAAAATGAAATCCTAACCTTACAGTCTGTGGCGCCTACATAAGCAGTGAGGTCCTAAATCGGGACTTTTCAACTAAGTTTACTCAGGAACCACAACTTTAAAAATTGGGATCGTCACTGGCAAGAGGTTCAAGGGCCAGCATAAAAAAATCATGAATACATTACAACTGAAAATGATCTGCGGGCCACTTGCTAGGTCTTCGCGGATCAGATGTGGCCCGCTAGACGCCAGTTGAATAGCCCTGTCTATATCGTTAAGAGATTTCATTTGCTGCTTCGCGGATTGCTTCCTTTATTTTGTATTCTCCCTCCCCAATTTAAACTGTCAATTTTCTTAAGAAATCGCACCTTACTTGCCAGTTATTTTCCTTTCGTCCCACATGGGGACATGCTGGATGCAATTTTTTTTTTTTTTCAAAATTTATTTTGAAGCCCTATCCCGGCTTTTGCCAGGGGCCCTAAATATAGCCAAACCACGTTGTGTCACCTCGTGTTTACCGCTTGTGTGATGTCCTGGTGGGGTATAACTACCGACCCGACCCACCTTATCTGCCAGTCGATGTTTCTAAGCCTGTGCTCTTATCGCCCATATCTCTAGTGCATACAACACTGCAAGTTCTACAATGAGTAATCTTTAAAACTCTTTTGCCCCTGTAGTTTACATCTTTGTACTGACGTGTATGTTTTCCAGCTAACAAGGAGCTCACATGTTGTCACGTTTCATGATATTTGTACGGATTCACCGATTTAGGAAAATTATTCTTTCTTTCTTTCTTTCTTTCTTTCTTTCTTTCTTTCTTTCTTTCTTTCTTTCTTTCTTTCTTTCTTTCTTTCTTTCTTTCTTTCTTTCTTTCTTTCTTCTTTCTTTCTTTCTTTCTTTCTTTCTTTTTCTTTCTTTTTTCTTTCTTTCTTTCTTTCTTTCTTTCTTTCTTTCTTTCTTTCTTTCTTTCTTTCTTTCTTTCTTCTTTCTTTCTTTCTTTCTTTCTTTCTTTCTTTCTTTCTTTCTTTCTTTCTTTCTTTCTTTCTTTCTTTCTTTCTTTCTTTCTTTCTTTCTTTCTTTCTTTCTTTCTTTCTTTCTTTTCTTTCTTTCTTTCTTTCTTTCTTTCTTTCTTTCTTTCTTTCTTTCTTTCTTTCTTTCTTTCTTTCTTTCTTTCTTTCTTTCTTTATTTCTTTATTTCTTTATTTCTTTCTTTCTTTTATAAAGATGACTATAATTTATGTTTTCTTACAAATTAATTTTAACCCTGACCACCTTCCCCCAACTAAACGCTGCAGATACTCCACGTCCTCCCCCTCCCTCCAAGATGTCGAATGTTTCACAGTTTTGTATCGCTGTAAACGTTGAAAATAATTAGATGTTCAAGCACATGCTAGTCAAAGACGTCTTTTAAATAGTGAAATTATCCCTATATATGTGTGTGCATATATAAAATTGTCTCGTTTTCTACTTCTTCTTCTATTTTTATTCATTGCTCCTAACTGCACCCGAAGCTCCTACTGTCTCTGGGCCATTTCAGGACCCTCTCACTTAATTCTGACCGTTGAAGCTACTGCTCTCTCGACTGCCCCGGTTCTGCAGCACACACTTTGAGAAGCACTGGTCTGGTCTCTACGCCATAGTGGGTTTCACTGCTAAAAGAAAACGTCACTTACTGCCCTAACTTAAAATCTGAAGGTAGATAACAGTTCAACATCTCCCCTTTCCCTCCATCACTCGTCAAGGGCTGTACAAAATATGTTACTACTCAAGGGAAATAACTTAGTTAATGTTTTTTAAGTGATGATTATGGCGTTACTTTGTTACATGACGCAGCAGCTTTGTTCAAAATAACACAGTAGATCTAGAAATGGCAACCAGAATCATATGTGCAAATGTTATGCTGCTACCGCTCACTATTTTAGAGACGTTCTTGTGACAGGTGAGAGGCAGATGTTAGTTTGTAACAAGACGTAGAAGCCTTGTTGAAAAAGCCCTGTTGTTTAACAAATGGCAGCCAGACTGGAATACTGTCCCTATTTGGGAGGCAATTTTTGGTTATTTCAAAGCCCTGCCCAGGCTGTAGCCGGGGGCCCAAATATAACCTACAGGTTGAAGAGGTGATCCTCATCCGAATAACGGCACTTTGAGTCACCGGGTGTTGGTCGATCGTTGTACGGCCCTGGTAGGGTTAAACGACATACACACACAGACAATGATACTCGCAAATTCCCCGTTCCTAGTGCTAAATCGTTTTGGAATAGTTCTCAAAGACATACAGACACAAGGCGAAGACTCAACCATTGAGCCATGGTTTGGTGATATGGCTGCAACAGTAACAACAACAAAAATACCACAAGTTTAGATCTTTCTAATGTTACTGATCACATATCATTTAACTGGAAGGTTACATTATTATAACGATGTAACCCAACTGGCGCCCAGCTTGCTTTGGAAGAGAGTAGTATTTCTACAGTCTAGGATACCAGTATTCTTGTTGTTTTTCTCACAAAACAGCACATAATCAGGGTAAACACGAAGCCAAAAGCCTGTAAATTCATTAAAAACATGTTGTATCAGTAAAATTAATCACACTTAGAGTAAAGGTATCAATTCTGGACAATACATTTATGTATCTAAACAAACAAATAAGTTAATCACCATGACCAATCTGTCGAAGACACTAATAATGTAGTAACATATACAGGAAGAAAGTCAAGCCAGTTTCATACACCATCTGGGTTAAATCAAGGAGATGCTATGTGTCTACTTCTTTTCAATTTTGCAATAGAGAAAATTTTAAGGAAATTGAAGGAATAGTGTACTATACGAGAAATTTCAAGAATGCTTGGTCATGCAGATAACAATGATATCGCAAGATAAAAAGAACCGAAGACGGTGAAAACATCGACTCTCTTAAGAGAAGCAGCTTACAAAATGAGATTAACATCAATCAATATAAGACAGAATACATGCTAATAACAAGACAGGAAAAAGATAAAATCCGACCACACACAAGTGGATATTAGGAAAATCAAACTAACTGAAACAAATACTTGGGTGCAAACTTCAACTGCTCCAACGTGCTTAGAGAAGAAATAAAAATCTAGAATACAATATGGAAATAAAGTACACTTTGCTTTTAATATATTCTAAAGTCAAAGTCTCTGTCTCGCAACACCAAGATCAGAATATATAAATCGTTAGTAAGACCAGTTGTTTTATATTGCTGTGAAACAGCTAAAAGAGATAAAGCATTATTATAAATTTTCGAAAACAGACTTACATTGAACATTTGTACCCATCAAAGATGCAAATAGCGGGGAATGGAGAGTAAGAAAAAGTAATGAAATTCTTAATCTGTTTAAATCACCATTAATCCCTGACATCAAGAGGGATAATAGAATGAAATGGCTGGGGTATATTGAGAGAAATTCAGAATGGGGAGGGCATGGGGTCAGCAGCGAGCAGGCGCGAAGGATCGAAAGATCTGACGTAAGTTATAATACAAATACAAAAGTCCCACCCTGGCTGTTTATAGCGGATCCTAGTATAACGAAACCGATGGGTTGAACGGGGTTTCTGGGACCTGTCCCCGGGTGATCCTCATCCGAATGGTGGCATTTTGTGTTACCGGGTGTTTATTGCTCGGTGTGATGTCCTGGTGAGGTTGAACGTCAGTCAGTCAGACGTGAGTTGGTTGAGGACGGACCTATGCTCCACTGGTGGATAGAGGGCAGAAGAACAGTTTTAAGTAAGTTTGTTACCGAGGTTTTACATTTTTACTTAACGAGGTTTGACAGTTTTACTTAATTCGCCAGGTTTTACTGTTCTACTTACTTAACGAGGTTTTATAAATATAACTTACCACACACACAGCCACGCCAATGGAGAGCCCAGCAATGATTGTGAAGCGTTTCTGTAGAAACGCTCTAATCTCGTTGCCAACAAACAAAAAGTAGTCGGAACTGCATGACTACACACCCAGACAGATGTTACATGTTATATTAAAACCTGACTTTCATTGATACAGACGAATAAAGCAAAACATTTCAGTTTGAATAAGATAAAAAAAAAGGTAACCAAATATGCTAAAAAAATCTGCGTATGGTTTAAATGTGAGAATTTCTCAACACATGTTATCATTATATCATCATCATCGTTGTGTTACTGTTGTTGTTGTTGTTAGTATTATTATTACAAGTTAAACTACAAGTACCATGTTGGTTTTTAGCTGAACTATTGTTAGTCTCCTCATTCTTCTTCTTCTTCTTCTTCTTCTTCTTCTTCTTCTTCTTCTTCTTCTTCTTCTTCTTCTTCTTCTTCTTCTTCTTCTTCTTCTTCTTCTTCTTCTTCTTCTTCTTCTTCTTCTTCTTCTTCTTCTTCTTCTTCTTCTTCTTCTTCTTTCTTCTTCTTCTTCTTCTTCTTCTTCTTCTTCTTCTTCTTCTTCTTCTTCTTCTTCTTCTTCTTCTTCTTCTTCTTCTTCTTCTTCTTCTTCTTCTTCTTCTTCTTCTTCTTCTTCTTCTTCTTCTTCTTCTTCTTCTTCTTCTTCTTCTTATCCTCCCCCCACCTCTTCCTCCTCCTCATTCTTCTTCTTCTTCATTGTCAGCATATTCTTCCACCTTCCCCCGCTCCTCCCTTTTCTTAGTGGATCTAGATAGCACAGTCGTTGGTTCGATTTCAGACTCGACTTTCGGTTTGTGTGTACAGGTCTTTTGGAGATCTTTGGTGGCCATCTCTAGAGCAATAGAGTTCGCGTTTTATACGTCACCCTCGGCGGACAAACAGTCGCTCTGTGTAGAGAGTTAGCCATGTGCAGTAATTCGATACAATCTTCTTCCTTTAATAATATTTGACAGCGAAACATTTTTGTTTTTCTCCTTAGTTCTAAATCTGTGACCTTGTTTGGCCGAAATATAAACAGTATTTTCCTTAGGCATATGTTCTTGAAAGTCCCCCCCCCATTTATATAAACTTCCACAGCTAGTTTATAGGGCACTCCCTGGTGGAGCGGCTCGATGTTCGCCTAACGGAGCAGGACTTTTGATTAAATGACCTTGACTCCCAGGTCGACCCAACCTTAAACGGGTATCGATACAGTCATGGGAAGTAAAGCGTGATGTTGACCAAATCACACACTGTGTGTCGATTGGTCTATAACATATAGGTCTAGTCACATATACCCAATACACCTAAGGGGTCTTTTACTTGACCTTACTAGCTTAGTTGTCGGCTCTGTGGTCAAGTCGATGCAAACGCTTTGTAATACCGGGGTGCCGGGTTCAATCCCAGCTGCGGGCCATGCAACTTGCCTTGGTTTTGACAGTGGTATCAGGGGTCCGACCGTCCAGTACAATGGCAAACTACTGGACGTAAATTTGCCTAGAGAAACCACACAACAGCCTGGGGCTGCTGGGGTTGGTTCTGCAACGTCATGTAAATATTCGCAACTAACCTATGTACCAGCTTGGTTATCAACAATGTGTACATAAGAACAGATCAGCAATATTAATGAATACTTACTTTGTTGTAATTTTCCTTTTCACACGATTGAGGAACTATTTTATAGTCGGCACTTCCATTGTGTGATCCACAGCACTTAAACTGTTGAATAACAGGTGGCTACATTATGTTATCAACCAATACCTACCATACATGTTTATAAAATTGTGAAGATCTGGCGTTGAAAATATAATACATCTTTTTGTCTCCATTGTATTGGGAGTGAGTTGGGAGATGTCAAATGCCCTGTGTCAATCTTTGGGCTAGTCGACTCTATCCCAATTTAATTTACAAAATGGTGGACAACTGATTTGTAAAAGGATGAATTTTATATGCAAAACAAGTTAGAATTGTTAATAATTACAAGAAATATATATATATATATATATATATATATATATATATATATATATATATATATATATATATATATATATATATAATAACAAACATATACTTTGAAAACTTGATTAACACTATATATCCCACTTATAACCCTGAAGTTTGAACAGGATATTGTTGAAAAACTATTACTGCTGGTATGTCTAGTCCTTAAGAAAGAGAATAGGGGCTATTGAGCTTAAAACTATAGAAAGATTCTCAGAATATCTTGGACAAAGAAAAAGAGAAATACTGACATCTTGAAAGATCTGAAGATTGGCTAATAAACAGCATTCTGTCTCGGAAGCTGAAATATTTTTGTCATAGTAAGCGCAACGACGGATTGGAAAATATATTAGAAGAAGGCATGGTACCAGGAAGGAGGGGCAGGGGCCGACCAACACGAAGATGAGCACAGGATATAAGTGACTCCTTGAGTAAGAAAGCACATGAGGCGGGAGAACTGGCGAGAGACCGAGTTTTTTTCAGGCAGACAGGGATGAGAGCAACGTTCTGCAAAGGGCCTGCTACACGATGATGATGATATGTCTAGAAATGTATTGATAAATCTGTTACAGTTTTTTCTAAAGATGTATTGCCCCGTCATTTCCCGTGCAGGTTCCGGCAAGTCCCAGAAACTGCTAGGGTATTATTAGGGCTTCTGATGAAACCCCTAGTGAAGCTTTAGAAGAGCAAAAAATGACGCTCCAAATTGAAACGACAAGTATTTTTGTTTG